GATGAAAGCCGGTATCTATACTGTGTAATAATGATTTCAGATTTAAGATAACATTGATTCTGTAATTGCATTTGTTTTATTGGTATTGGAACCTATTGGGGTGCCATAGTGTGATAATGCAAACAGGTCAAAGTTGCAAGCATGCATGAAAATTTTATATAATTACTAGACATACGTAATTACACTTTTGGTAAATACATTGTGTGTGAACATGTATAGATGTAGTCAGTACAGTCTATGCACTGTATATAATACTATTAAAAGCAGAATTAAGCTACACTAGTTGTCACTGCATGTTGACTGAGAAAAATAAAAGTTAGGGCACCACCATATTGTGTTGTGCAAGTGCTCTCTCTCCCTCTCTCTCTCACACACACACACACACACACTTGATTTTGCCATTTAGTGAGTCACTGACTTACATTCATTTCCTGGAGCCCATTGCCCATTACCTTACCCTAACCTTACTCTAGCCTGAAAGAGCCCATGGCTGCTCATTTTGCTTATTTCCAGCCATTTACTGCTTAATCTTCGTACCTCTAGATAAGATTCACACCCATCATAAATCCAAATAGTCTGTAATTATTTCAGAAAGATAAAACCCAATGTCACAAGGAGAACCCTCTCCTGAAAATTAGAGGATAGTTCGTGAATGCCAGTCAGGAAGCCAGGACAACACATAAAAAACTTTGACAAATAAGCTCTTATCAACAATGACAATACCTCAAATCCTACCTGACATGTTCAAGCCAGAATATGAAAGCAGACAGCACGTCAAACCGTAACAGCATTAATTAATTTGAATTTCTCCTCCATAGGTAAACAACAGTATATGTATTGATGAAATACTGTAAACAAAGCAGGTAATTGAGAAACCCCATATTTTAACTGACATAACTTCTTCAGCCTTACAACAATTCTCTTTACAGAAATGAGGCATTAAATGTACCATTACGTCCCACCAAGTAGTGGAAACTTAAAGGTTGGTAAATCCAGCCAGTGATCACTGTGTCTTCCCCCACAAATCCCTCACTCCTCCTCCTTGGCGACCACATTCCCAAAGTAGTGAAATTAATTCTATTAGGTAACCTTGCACTGACAATAACATCATGCATTGTTAGAATCCTCTTGCCAACATGCAACTCATCACGTGTGGAAAACATACTGGCCTCAAACAGTCCAAGGGAGTCCAGCATTGATGAGCTAATCATTCACCAGCCCAGGGTGCTTCACTGGCTGGCTGCAGTTTTCAGCTGCTCCATTCATTACATGTTAGACCTGGTCAGGTCAAACAGCAAGTCCCTGTACATGAACATTCCCAGACATGCAGTAACCTCAGGCCCTGTATTTTTCATATTTTTAAACCATTCAAGAAAATCTGCAAACTGTTGCGTAAGACTTTACATAGTTGAAAAAAAGTCTTGCCAGCGAGAGTTTTCAAGACTTGTATGAACCGATTTGCTTCTGCATAGAAGTACAACACCTTGTCTTTTGAGCTTTCAGTCACGTTTAAAATGATAATTCATTGCTGTAACATTGTAGATAAGTCAGAAAACACAGGAAAGCATGCCATGGGCTCTTTAAAGCACATCTTCTCCTTAAAATTCGACAGTTGACTTTGTGAAGACCAGCATCTGGTACCCACAAGGAAAGCTAAAATTCCACAATGTGAGTAATGTCAGGCATGCATAAAAACACATACAGAGTCAAACAGATAGAGAGGTGACGTACGGAGGGTTGTCACATTTCCTCTGTCTGAACTGGACTCCAGTACCACAGGTCCTGCTGCACATGCTCCACTGGCTCCACGGACTCCAGTCGCCATCCAGATGCTGAGGGATGGGAGCCTTACTGACACACTCACCTGCCCTGCACCACTGACACACACACATGGACAGAGTGATCAAAGTTATTTCAAATACATTCATCATAATAAGATGTCATGAAAATTACTTTAAGTATGTTTTAAACTGTGTTTTAATAAATATATTAACCAATATATGTTATACAATGGATTTTAAACTTTCAGAACAGACCACATATCACAGGGACCTGTGAGACACTGCCTGTGTGAACAGAAGAACATGTTTCATCTTTGTTTTAGTAATTTGTGTGTTGTTCAACCAAATGACACTCCAGACTTAAAGGAAGCCAGCCATAAACCGTAAAGATAAAACAGGCGCAACAGATTGTTTAGTGTCCAAGGGGTTATCAGGGCAACCCCCTTCAATTTCCTTTGTTGTGTGGATGCTGTAAAACATCCACACTATGCTCTTCTGTTCTTTATTGTGTGAATGTGAAGCACCCACACTATGATATCATATTCTTTATTATTATTGTATGGATACTTTTCAGCATCCATACTATGTTATCCTGTTCTTTATTATTGTGTGGATGCGTATGCATCCACACTATGTTATCCAGTTCTTTATTATTATTGTGTGGATGCGTAAGCTTTTTTTACAGAAATTTCCCCATTGGAAATGAATGGGGCAAAATTTGAAGCTTAATATCTCCGGCATACGTTGGGCTAGAAATGCCATTTCAACTTTATTCAACTCGTGAGACGTTCAGCTACTAATGGTGCATCTTGATATCTGTTATGGTTTTTTTAATAATCGACTTTTATATTTGTCCATAAACAATGCATGGGTGCAATGCCATTGGCTGCCTATGCGTCACGTGACTCCCCCGGTCTAGGAGCTTTTGCTCTCCCTCTTGCCGCTTTTGTGCTGCCATTATGTCCATTCTTAAGCATTATACACATATAATAGATGACAATCGTAGAGAAAATTGTCACGAATTCAGCTGTCAGTGTTACTGAGATGGGATGAATGGTATTTGCTTAAGTCGCTCATTCCAGCGCATACGTCTCACTGCTCCATTACAGTCAATACAGACGATCCGCTGTAGCAAAACGTC